TGTGGGGTAATGCAACCCCTATTTGACTGTTTTCTTTCACCTTGCTTATCTCACTCACTATAATTCCTGTGCTCCCCTTTCCTACTTTAGATCTCATAGTTTAGATAGATAAAAGGGATATATTATTATTTTAAAATGTGCTCACCAAAAGAGAAGAAAAAGTGAGGGAATGTGGTGACTTTCTGTCATCAAACTAATATGGTGACCAGGGGTCATGTGACCAAGCTCATGTATGCCTTTCTTACAGGGGGATAAGCTTTACCCTTTGATATGGTAATTGGGTAATTCAATACCTTTACAAGTCAGGAGAGAGATAACCACTTCCCCCCTATCTCCATTCCTCTCTGTTCCTTCTTGGCTGTGCTGCAGAGTAGATGTGCAGACGCCATGTGCTATCATGGTGAACCATGTTACACTCTGTTGCTTCCTTTTCTTCCCTGGTGGATGTGATGTTGAACTTTCAGCAGTGAGCCATTACTAGATGTGAAGGCCTAACCGTGGGTGAGATCAAACGTGTGGGGAAGGGGATTACTATATGGATAGATAGATTTGAAAAGGGTTGTTGCTCCGTGGGTCTGGGCTGTGTGTTTGTGATAAATTTATAGTATTGTGTTGTTGCCTTCTAATAAATACCTTTTAATGTAGACAAACCACTACGGAATCTGTTGACACTATATAAATGGCGATAATAATATTAATTATTATAATTTAGACAATGACGAAATATATGCACAAAACAAACAAAATTGGCCAAGGCCCAATATTTCTGTGAAATGCTGAACAATAACATATTAAACCCTAGAAACTTTTGGAAAGTCATAAATAAATTACAAATTTCCCCAATCCACTCCCAACCCTCCACTATCAAAGTGGATAACCAAACCCTGCAAGTAGCAAATGCCTTTAATGATTATTTTGTCAGATGCTCCACTACCCTGATTGCCAAGCTAATAAATGACACACATCCTGAAACTACAAATGTGGATTAGTCCCCACTAAATTTGCTAGGACCCAATATAGACAAGTTCTATTTTAGATCTGTACCTATTACTGTCATTAAGAAACACCTTAAAGGACCACTATAGTGCCAGGAAAACATACTCGTTTTCCTGGCACTATAGTGCCCTGAGGGTGCCCCCACCCTCAGGGACCCCCTCCCGCCCGGCTCTGGAAAGGGGAAAAGGGGTTAAACTTACCTTTTCCAGGCTGGGGGGAGGCTCCCTCCGATCCTCCTTCTCTCCTCCTCCTGGGCTGAATGTCTTCTGCGCATTCAGCGATGTTCATAATGTTTCCTATGGATTCGTGCTCTCACGAAAATCACAGTGAGAAGCATAGCGCCTAATAACTGTCAATGGGCAGCCACTAGAGGATTAGGGGAAGGCTTAACCCATTCATAAACATAGCAGTTTCTTTGAAACTGCTATGTTTATGAAAAAATGGGTTAACCCTAGCTGGACCTGGCACCCAGACCACTTCATTAAGCCGAAGTGGTCTGGGTGCCTAGAGTGGTCCTTTAATAATCTAAAAATGAAAAACCAGTCTGGACCTGATCAAATCCCAGCAATGCTGCTGAAGCTCAGTGCGCCGTCAATTGCTAAACCTGTCACAACCCTTATTAACAAATCCTTGGTGTCTGGATACATACTCAAACATTGGAAGACTGCAAGAGTAGTACCTATCCATAAAAGTGGTGACACTACTTTGGTTTCTAACTATTGCCCAATATCATTGCTCCCAGGATTGTCAAAAATCTTAGATAAATGCGTCCTAGCCCAACTATGTGAGTATTACCAACAATCTACCTATCTGACTCCTGATCAATCGAGTTTTCGCCCGAATCACTCCACTACAACTGCCCTCTTAAAAGTTTGCAATGACATTCCAGCTGGCATGGAACAAGGAGACCTAACTGGAGCTATTTTCCTTGATTTTGCAAAGGCCTTTGACACAGTAGACCATGACATTCTACTGCACAAACTGAAAAACTCAGGCATTGGTGATCGTCTACTAACATGGTTCCAATCATATGTATCAAATCGCTCACAATATGTGTCCATTTCTGACAGCGACTCCCTCCCTCTCCCAGTCACATGTGGTGTTCACCAAGGTTCCATTCTCGGCCCCCTACTATTCACATTATTTCTACATGATCTGCCTAATGTCTGCAATCATCAAATGTACGCATGTACGCAGACAACAAAGTAATCTATGCAAGCAAATCCAATCTACCGCAGCTTGAAGCTGTGCTCTAAGACCAGTTTACAGAAGTAGAAAAATGTATCACAAAAAACAAACTCTTCCTAAACACTGACAAAACTGTCACAATGATCTTTGGAACAGTACCTAAAGTACACAAATTACACAATTCCCACCTACCCATCAAAACAATATCAAATAAAACACTGACTGCAGTCCACTCTTTCAAATACTTGAGTATGTCATTAGACCCCGATCTATCTTTTGGCTTCCACATAGAAAAACTTGCATCTAAACTTTATCCAAAACTAGGTGCCCTGTAGAGAATTAAATCCTGCCTAGCCCCCCCACCCCCCCTTAAAGGAAAAGATGGTACAGCAAATGCTGATGCCAGTCATTGATTATGGGGATATAGTATATGTACCTGCACCGCTAACCACTAACTTGAAGGAAGAGCAAAAGAGGAGGATCAGTATTAGAAGGAGGAAAGACAATGAGCTCAGTTTTAGAGAGATTGAGTTTCAGAAAGCACGAGGACATCCAGTCAGAGATGAAAGATAGGCAAGCAGTGACACGTTGCAGGACGGCAGGGGAGAGGTCCAGGGAGGAGAGATATATCTTGGTGTCATCAGCATACAGGTGGTATTGGAATCTGTGACGAAGTGCCCTTCGCCACTTGGTCCTGGAGAGACCTACTTGCCAGCCTCCTCCCCTGTGACTATGACTCTTTCATGTATCTGGCTTTAAAGCCCCTAGTCTACCTTCAGACAGACTATTTATGTAGGCTGCTTTATTTATCTTATGTTTTAGTCACCCTGTACCCATTATGGGTGCAGGGTGTGTGTAATGTAATTGTTTATAGTGTGTGTGTGTGTGTGTGTGTGTGTGTGTACTGTGTAATGTATTGCCTGCTCTCTTGTATTGCTGAGGTTTGCTACCAACTAGGTGGGTTTGGCTATGGAGCTGGTCTAGTGCCCTCTGTTGGTGGCAACAGCAATATGCACTACCTGAATTGCAAGACTGGTTCATTTGCATATTCGGGTAGATTTGCATATTGCTAATTCTGCAGGCAGGTGAGATATTTAATGTTAAATATTGTCTCCCCCCACCCCTTTAAAAATGTGCCATTGTGTTGTGATAAGTCACTGTGTGTTGCTTGAAATGGTTTGACTGTTTGTGATTTTATTGAGGTTTCACAACAATGTTATTGTGGTGACCCTATTGGCTGGTCCCAAGGGAAATAAAGGTTTTGACAGTTCTTCTTGATCCCTCTAAACGTAGCCTTGTCTCGTTATTGGAGGGAGATGTTATAATCACACTGGGGATTGCTATGCTCTGCATGCTCCCGAGCTTGAGTCACTTAGCTCTTTTAAGAGCTTGTTCCTAACATGCTCTCCTTGGAGGAGGGGTCTTCACCACACAGTCCTGGATGCTGGAGGTTCATACAGGGTGGAAGGAAGAGTTCTTTCCCACACAGTCCTGGAGGACAGAAGCTGATCCAGGCTGGAAGGAAGACGTCGAGACTCCAGTCAAGATACGGAGGTTGCGGAGTCTGCGGTGGTTGTGGTGTCTGCTGCAGCACTTGGAGTCCTCAGGAAGCACTAGGAGCATCCGTCAATGGAGGGTACTCAGTCGGAGTACAAGGAGCTCCGTTACAGAATCCAATAGAGGAAACACGTTTGCTAAGAGAGGAAGTATAAAGAGAAAATAGAAGGGGACCAAAGACAAAGCATTGGGGAACTCCAACCGAGAAAGGACGAGGGGAGGAGGTGTCATTAGAAAAGGAGATGCCTTTTTTAATGCAAAAATATGGCGTCATGACATGCTGATGTGCTGACAGCGTTGTGACGGAAGAGGAGGGGTGGTCGCTATGGCATGGTTTGGCGCAGCTGCAGCCCTCATCGAATGACGTCCTCCAAGGAGGTCTGATACTCATGGGACCTAAATGAGCTAACTCCTCGCCATGAAAGTGGGCCATTCTGAACATTAACACTAAATGGTGTGACCTGGATAAAGTGCAAAAGTTCAGCTCATTTCTCCCTTTTGATCAACGCCGTCTATATCAACCCACATGCAACTCTCACTGCGGTCTGAGTACTGTCTGGTGGGTTCTAACGGATTTTGACAGCGTAAACCTGCAATATAAGAAACTTGCCATATAAGAAATTTGCACCCCTCCAGACCCGATTCAGTTTATGCATCCAGGCCAGAGCCACATGTGGAAACACAATTATGTGGAAAAACAAGGGAGAGAAGTGAAAAACAGAGACAAAAAGTAAGCCTGTCAGAAGGAAAAAGGGAGTGTCAGCTCAGGTGAATCGGAGTTATAATTCGCTTGCAGGGACATATTTAAGGCTTTGGCTGTTTCATTTTAAGATAAGTGTAAATTCTTCCTGTCTCATATTGTCATTGTTAATGAACACTTGCTTGACGATATTGCTGTATACAATTTTGTAAATAAGTAAAGACATAGTCATAGAAAAATTGTAAATATTGATGGGAGACGACTGCTGATAAAGAAAAAGTTGAAAAGTAGAGATAAAGATAAAGATAAAGAAACAGGGGCTCTGATAAAAGGGACAAAGTGTTGCTTAGAGAGCAGATGCAAGCAAGGACGTGGTGAACAAAAACTATAAAGTCTGTGTACAGGCTTATTTAATTAAACCACATTACTGGTCACATTAACCGCTTAAGGACCAAACTTAATAAATAAAATAAATAAAAGGGAATCATGACATGTCACACATGTCATGTGTCCTTAAGGTGTTAAACAGAGTCCGGCAGGAACATACAAAAAATCAAATATGGCTTCCAAAAAAAACCATGATTCTAAGTCCTCTATGAGGAAGGAAAAAAAGGACAACACACAAGACAAAACATTGAACACATATTTCTCCCCACAACAGCTTAGAGAACAGCAAAAGAATGTGAAATACTGCATGGACGATACAAGTGTAAGTTTAGAAAGTTTGGAAATGGATGCTAGAAAAAACTCAGATAAAGAATTGATTACAACATCTCAATTACAGATAAGTCTGAGAGCCAATCTGGAAGAAATAAAAAAGGATTTGGCCGTCACGGCAGTTGAGATTAAAACTGAAATCAAGCAGGAAATAAATTTATTAACTGCGAAGTTGCAGAAATTTGAGGATCAAGTAAATGAATTGGACTTTTATGTAAAAAATGTAAAAGATGAATGTGGGAAATCACACTGCAGGATTTTTGATCTTGAACTTAAATGTAACGATTTAGAAGACCGTAGCAGACGGAAAAATCTGCGTTTTAGAAATTTTGTGGAGGGTGGAAGACAGGAAGATTTAAAGCAAACCCTGAAAGATTATTTCCTGGATTTGGGCATCCCATTCAATGAACAAGACCAACTAATAGAACGATGCCACAGATTGTTTAAACCTCAAACAATTTAGTCAGAGAGTTCAAGAGACATAATTGTTTTTTTTTAACTCATATGAATTCAAGGAGTTAGTATTAAAAGCTGCAAGGAAAAACCAGAATAATACTTGCCGTTTTCATAATATAAAAGTTTTTCAGGATATATCTTATGACACAAGACTGAAGAGAAAATCCTTTAGTTCGGCCACAAAAACTCTAAGAAAGTATGAGATAAAATACAGATGGCTGTATTCTCTTAAAATAAGTTTAACTTATGATGGAAAAAGAGAGTTGTTTGACTCTAATGAGAAACTGGTAGAGTGGTTGAATAAGAAAAAAATAGAAATAGATAGATAATGGTTTGAATAATTTATATTTTCCTTTTTTTTTCTCTCTTTCGGTTGGAGATTGTGGCACTTTATTTTTCAATTTAACTATTTATGTTTCTATATTTATATGTTATAAATAGTTAAATTTAACAATTTATATACTTATGTCTGTATGTTATAATAATATGTAAAACCTCGGTTTCTGCGGGATAGACAGCCATAATGCATAGGATAATGTTACAAAGTGTATAGATGCAATATATTTTATGACACATTTTTCATTTCATTTGAATGGGGAAAAATAATTTATATTTAATTTGTTCATATAGGATTTATCTATAGGACACAGTATGCTCCTTATAAATTTGCTTCTTTACACAATTTTCACATTAAGGTTATATATTTGTTGGTAACAATTTGCAACACCAAAAAGATGGTTAACCTAGATGAAAATTTGTTAAGATTACTCACCATTACATTTATTGCACTATTATAAAATATATTACAGTCAATTTCTGATGGCTGGTATAAGTTTATATATTTGAGTGATTTTGTAAGGAAAGAGAAGGGGAAAGGAAAAAAAGGAAAAGAAAAGGGTAAGGGAAAGTATGTAAAATGTAGGTGTTTCTACACAATAATAATCACACTTGATAGGTTAATAATATCGATGGTATTTAGGAAAATTAGATATATATTTTTATATACAAGTCACATATTAAGCTTTGATAATATTTGCCAACATGGTGCAACACCAAATAAGAAGAGTAATTCTATTATGACTACTCACTATTATATTTAAGTACTACTACTAATCATATTTCACTCAATTTTTGATGCTGGTGCTAAGCTTATAGATTGGAATGATTCTTATGAAAATATCATGTAAAATTATATGTTTTTGCACGATAATAGTCACAATGCATAGGTTAACATTATCGATTGTACTAATGAATAATAGATATATATATATATTTATTTATTTTCACTGCCCCCCCCCCCCACTCTTTCCTTATGCTCATATAGAAGTTCAACTTGTGAGTTTCTTGATGCAGGGTAAGAAGTGGGGGTGGAATTTGTGATCGTTTCTAGTTTATATACTATAGAAGGGGTTGTGCTGCATTTCCTCTTTTTGGGGGCCTCTTTGTGTAGTTTGACTACAGTGTTTTTGTAGAGCTCAATGGGCTCTAATAGATTTAATAGAACTTTGTTCTTAGGTAATTGTGTTTTTTATGTTTGTATGAGGCCTCTCCTTGGTCTCATGCTGTGGGGTGATTATTGTATGCTTTTTTTCAGAGCAGGAGAAGATTATATAAAAAAAAAATATGATACATTATTCTTATGTTAAAGTTATAATCCTCAAATGTACAAGGGCTAAATACCAATGGTAAAAGGAATATGTTGTATAATTCTTTAATGGAACAAAAAATTCAAGTGGCCTTTATAAAGGAAACTCACTGGCTTAGGGATTCCCAACAAAAATGGGGTGGTGCTACATTTCCAACTATTATTCAGGCCTCTCTTGCAGATAAAAAAGGAGGGGTAGCAATTATCTTTAGGAACGATTTAAAACTTGAAATTATTCATATAGAACGAGATAAGGACGCTAGATATATTATTGTGATGTGTAACATAGAGAATAGGACATATACCCTGGTCAATGTATACCTCCCCAATGTGAATCCCATGGCTACATTTTCACGTATAATGGACAAAGTATCTAAGATACCTAATTATTATTATTAATTATTGTGGGAGATTTTAATTGTGTCTCAAATTTTAAACTTGATAAGACATACATTTCACCTACTTCTAATGATAAAAGAGCCAATAAACAAGCCAAAAATTACAACATATTTCCAAACTATATAATCTTTATGACATTTGGAGAGGATTCCATCCATCAGAAAGAGATTATTCTCTCATGTCCAGTGCCCATGGTACCTATTCCCGTATAGATTACTGTTTAGCCAATGCAAATTCGAACTCCCGCTTTAAAAGCATAACAATCACGGAAAATCCCTGATCTGATCATAGTTTTATTATAATGGAATTAGGTTATAATCTACATCCTGGCAGAACTACCTGGAAATTGAATGATGCACTTATTAAAGACGTTAATAACAGGGAGGAATTAACAAAGCTATTCATTTATTTTTGGGAAGAAAATCGCTCGGTGGATACTTCACCAGCAATTAATTGGTGCACGCACAAATCGGTTATGAGAGGACATTTAATTAAATTGGCTCATATTATTAGGAAAGAAAAGGGTAAGACTCCGTCGGATTTATATATTGAATTTTACAACCTTTGAAGTCTAAATAAAAAGCAATCCACCCTGGAATTAAAATCCTGTTTAATTGATATACAGAAGAAAATCAATATTAAGGAGGAAGAAAAAATCAAGTTGAATCTAAATAGGTTAAGGTTAAATAACTACTATACAGGCAATAGAGCTAGTAAAAATCTTACAAAGAGATTACAGAATCATTACACATGAAATGGGGTGGACTATCTGATGGATGGACAAAATATTTACTCTACCCTGAAGCAAATTGGAGAAAAATTCAATAAATTTTATGAGGAATGTATAACTTGAAGTTGAGTCCCAATCTTACCGATATCCAAGAGTACTTATCTAACACTTCGATCCCGAAAATAGCTGATCAAGATTTAACAATTTTGAATAAAAATGTCTCTCAGGAAGAAGTTCAAGCACAAATAGATAAATTACCTACAATTAAAACTCCGGGCCCAGATGGCTTCACAAATTTATATTATAAATATATGAAGCCTCATTTGATAAAACCATTAACTGAGTTGTTCAACCAGATGGCAGAAAATAAATCCTTCCTGAGAGAATTACTTCAATCAAACCTCATCCCCATATTAAAACAAAATAAGGATGGTTCAAATCCCAGCAATTATAGACCCATCGCGTCGATCAATGTAGACATGAAGCTCTATTCCGCAATAATTGCTGAGAGAATTAAAAAAAAATATTGTTAAACTAATTAATCCCAATCAAATTGGGTTTATCCCAGGAAGATTGGCCTTGAATATTACTAGAAGATTACTCAATATATTAGATTGGGCTGATAGACAAAAGATACCCCTCCTGGCCCTGTCTTTGGACGCTGAAAAAGCGTTTGACAGGGTCAGGTGGGGCTATCTAGGGGACGTTCTGAGGGCTTTTGTATTTAAGGGTTGTATATATAATGCAATATTGGCTTTGTACACCGTCCCTTCTGCCAGGTCGGTCCCAACATATCTGCTGGATGGTTTGAATTCCGAAATGGTACGAGGCAGGGGTGTCCCCTCTCCCCACTATTATATATTTTATTGCTTGAGCCACTTGCCATCAATAATAGGGAAAATCCTCTTATCAAGGGGTCCCGACAAGAGATGTAAAAATTTCACCAAATGCCGATGACGCATTAATCACCCTATCCTCTCCAGTAGCTTCCCTATTTTATTTAATGAAGGAAATTGATCATTATTCCAAAGTTTCAAATTTTAAGCTAAACATTGTTAAGTCGACTGTTCTGTATATGAATATAGATAAAGACAGTATAGAGAGTTTAACCCAGACATATACATTTATTTGGACAAAACATTAAATAAATTATCTAGGCTTTATTATCCCTGCAAATGTTAATACTACAATAGAGAGGAACGTATTGAATTTAATAAAAACTACAAATTCAAGTTTAAAAAAGTGAAAAAATTTGGAGATCTCATGGTTGGGCAAAATAAATATTATTAATGCATATATTTTGCCCAAGTGGTCATATCTTTTCTCCATGATCCCTCTCAAAATGTCTAAGTCATGGTTGACATTAATACAAACAAGTTTCTCAAAGTTTATTTGGAAAGCTAAAACTCCCAGAATTAGTCAGAAAATTCTATTGAAAAAGTTATCTAGGGGAGGCTTAAATTTTCCAAATATTACTTACAACTATTATGCCAACATGATTAGACATATATATATATATATATATATATATATATATATATATATATATGTATATATGTATATATATATATATATATATATATATATATATATTTATTACAAGACCCATCTCTGGCCCAAGAACCTTGGTTCACTATAGAGTGTGAAGCTGCCCATACATCTAATTTACAATATTATTTGTGGACTCCCATTAGGAATAAAACAGATGTGCTTCAAATTAACTCTACCTTATTATTTCAATCTTTAGAAGCATGGGAGGAAATTAAGAAAACTTTGGGCTTATCACAATTTATTCCTAGGTCGCGTAGTCTCAATATATTAGAGTTAAATATAGATGACTTTTCGTTGAGACATTGGGAAAATAGAAATCAATTAAGGATCTCTGACCTTATGCAAGGTGACAACCTAATGCCCTTCCAACAGATTGCCGAAACCTTCATATACCAACAAGATAAATTTTTACTTACCTTCGAATAAAAAATTATATTAATAAGAATGTTATCAAAAGTTTCTCTCCATTGGCTAACTATATAGAAAACATTTTCAATTACAAGCCTATAAACAAGGTTACTTCAGCCGCTAATCGTTTGGCTGATCTCCTAAATATTACTCCCCACAAACTTATCAAGACATGTGAACAGGAGTTAGAAGTCGGGATTTCAGATGAAGACTGGTGTACCTCACTAACCCATATTAGCAAACATATTCATTGTCTAAATCTGGTTGAATGCCA